TATTGAAATTTACTATGATATTTTTTTCTCTCTCTATGGAACCTTATATTCTATGGTTGTATGTTCGTATACCTGCCTATGTGTCTGTATTCATACTTGTATGCCTGTGCGATCACGTGCCGGTCTGTATAGATGAAGGTCTAGCTGTATGAATGTATGTGTATGTTCATGTACCTACATATGTATCTGTAGGTCTATAAATTTGTGGAATTACATGCCAGTCGGTATGGCATGTTGGTTTGTATGTATGTATGTATGTATGTATGTATGTATGTATGTATGTATGTATGTATGTATGTATGTATGTAAGCTCATATATCATTGTGTTCATATTCAGAACCGGATATTTTCACAACTGTATGTTCACATTCGTGTGTGTACATTGTGTCATCTATTTCAACTATCTATCATCTATCTATCATGTTAGCGATCAATCTAACTTCACCCCAACTCGGAAAAATACATTTTCTGTCAACTCTTCAAAAAATATCTACTTTCCGAACTAAACTGAGGGGTTCTTCCCTACCTTGAACCTCGTCTGAGAGTTGGTTCTCTTTCTGACTGTATAAGAGTAAGGTTCTCTCCCTCTAGCTGTATAAGAGCGAGGTTCTCTCCCTCTAGCTGTATAAGAGTAAGGTTCTCTCCCTCTAGCTGTATAAGAGCGAGGTTCTCTCCCTCTAGCTGTATAAGAGCGAGGTTCTCTCCCTCTAGCTGTATAAGAGCGAGGTTCTCTCCCTCTAGCTGTATAAGGGCGAGGTTCTCTCCCTCTAGCTGTATAAGAGCGAGGTTCTCTCCCTCTAGCTGTATAAGAGCGAGGTTCTCTCCCTCTAGCTGTATAAGAGCGAGGTTCTCTTCCTCTGCCTGAGTAAGGGAGTGGTTTCATTTCTCGTGGGCGTTTAAAGACGTGATGTTTTTCCATTGCTGCGTTTTCTCTCCCTTGTTTCAAAAAGACGTTCTTTCCTTTTTCCTGAGAAGATAGACGTGGTTCTTCCCGGTCGGGAGCTTACCAGATCTTTTCTCGCGTGGTTCTCTGAGCGTGGTTCTCTGAGCGTGGTTCTCTGAGCGTGGAGCAGCACAAAACAACGCTCCTCTCCTGTGCGGTTCCTTCCGCGAGTTATGGACGTGTGCTGTTCACTCTCTTCTCAGACGCTTGAGGGAGCGGTTTACTCTCTCTCTAGGAACACTGTGACATGGCTCCTTCTGCTTGGGTACTCGGAGACCTGATTATATCCCTCCCTGGAGAGAGCAGACACCTGGCTTCACACAGCACCAGCAGGGACCATCACCCACCCAACGCCTCAACTTTAATAATCTCTGACACGCTCCTGACATCACTGGAGAGTTGCAACCCGACTCTTCAACTCTCCACACCACTCTGCACTTCTACCACACACACACACACACCCCATGTGGCTCTTCGATAACCATCTTTCTCACTCCTTCCATCTCACCTTCAAATGTTTCTCTAACTGAATTTGATATTACATTTCTGCTGTTAACTCCTGTGTGTGTGTCGAGATACATCTCACTGGCCCAGATGGTGTTCCCAAGGGGTCTTGGAGTTGTATCTGGCTTGTCTCCTGCTCTAAGGGGGATTACATGTGTGTATTCATGGTGCTTCCTCTGTTGTAGCATCGTGTCCGTCATCCGTGAGAGTACGGTGATGCTGCAACAGTACGGTGATGCTGATGATCTCTCACATTTACTTGCAATTTCCTGCAATTTGGGGACGAGTTCAACCATGTTGGTTGAACATTTCTACCTCTCGTGTTCTTTCCGAATTTAATACTGATTAAATTACATTTTGTTAGCTAAATTAAATTTTTAATCTGATCTTGTTTTTAATAATTAAGTATAATAGTATTTTGATTTTGTTCATTATTTATGCACTCACTATCTATCGGTACTAGACCTCATGCCCATCTTGAAGGCTTGAGGGGACCTCATGCCCATCTTGAAGGCTTGAGGGGACCTCATGCCCATCTTGAAGGCTTGAGGGGACCTCATGCCCATCTTGAAGGCTTGAGGGGGACCTCATGCCCATCTTGAAGGCTTGAGGGGACCTCATGCCCATCTTGAAGGCTTGAGGGGGACCTCATGCCCATCTTGAAGGCTTGAGGGGACCTCATGCCCATCTTGAAGGCTTGAGGGGACCTCATGCCCATCTTGAAGGCTTGAGGGGACCTCATGCCCATCTTGAAGGCTTGAGGGGACCTCATGCCCATCTTGAAGGCTTGAGGGGGACCTCATGCCCATCTTGAAGGCTTGAGGGGACCTCATGCCCATCTTGAAGGCTTGAGGGGACCTCATGCCCATCTTGAAGGCTTGAGGGGACCCAATACCCATCTTGAAGGCTTGAGGGGGACCTCATGCCCATCTTGAAGGCTTGAGGGGGACCCAATACCCATCTTGAAGGCTTGAGGGGACCCAATACCCATCTTGAAGGCTTGAGGGGGACCTCATGCCCATCTTGAAGGCTTGAGGGGACCCAATACCCATCTTGAAGGCTTGAGGGGACCCAATACCCATCTTGAAGGCTTGAGGGGACCCAATACCCATCTTGAAGGCTTGAGGGGGACCTCATGCCCATCTTGAAGGCTTGAGGGGACCCAATACCCATCTTGAAGGCTTGAGGGGACCCAATACCCATCTTGAAGGCTTGAGGGGGACCTCATGCCCATCTTGAAGGCTTGAGGGGACCCAATACCCATCTTGAAGGCTTGAGGGGGACCCAATACCCATCTTGAAGGCTTGAGGGGACCCAATACCCATCTTGAAGGCTTGAGGGGGACCCAATAGCCATCTTGAAGGCTTGAGGGGACCCAATACCCATCTTGAAGGCTTGAGGGGGACCCAATACCCATCTTGAAGGCTTGAGGGGACCCAATACCCATCTTGAAGGCTTGAGGGGACCCAATACCCATCTTGAAGGCTTGAGGGGACCCAATACCCATCTTGAAGGCTTGAGGGGACCCAATACCCATCTTGAAGGCTTGAGGGGACCCAATACCCATCTTGAAGGCTTGAGGGGGACCCAATACCCATCTTGAAGGCTTGAGGGGACCCAATACCCATCTTGAAGGCTTGAGGGGACCCAATACCCATCTTGAAGGCTTGAGGGGGACCCAATACCCATCTTGAAGGCTTGAGGGGACCCAATACCCATCTTGAAGGCTTGAGGGGACCCAATACCCATCTTGAAGGCTTGAGGGGACCCAATACCCATCTTGTGGGCGGTAGTGGGCTTCATACCCTTCATACCCATGGGTTTTAGGGGTCCCAATATCCAACCTGTGGGCGGCAGTTGAAAAAGGTAGCATAGGAACTGAACCCCAAAAATTGTATCTAGTAAATTAAATCACATATGTTAAGCAAATAAAACCACATATATATGTGAGTTGGGTTATTTGTTTGAGACACGTTATTGTGTGCTATTTTCATATTTATAAACTACGTCTTATGAAGAGATAAATTATTGTGTAAGATTTGCTGTTCGTTGACTTCCACATTTGACTATTAACTTTAAAAGAGGTTCATAAATTCTTGGCCTGAGCTGAGTTTATTTTCTTTGTGTGAGTTTCCTGTCAGTTATCTAAGTTAGACTCAAGAGAGCGTTTCAAATATCAAGTATGAGATCCTTTATTGGTTGCTCTTACCAGATTGGATTCCACTGGGTCCGTGCGGTGCCTCTAGAGCACTGAATTATGTGTGTGTGTGTGTGTGTACTCACCTAGTTGTACTCACCTAGTTGTGTTTGCGGGGGTTGAGCTCTGGCTCTTTGGTCCCGCCTCTCAACCGTCAATCAACAGGTGTACAGATTCATGAGCCTATTGGGCTCTGTCATATCTACACTTGAAACTGTGTATGGAGTCAGCCTCCACCACATCACTTCCTAATGCATTCCATTTGTCAACCACTCTGACACTAAAAAAGTTCTTTCTAATATCTCTGTGGCTCATTTGGGCACTCAGTTTCCACCTGTGTCCCCTTGTGTGTGTGTGTGTGTGTGTGTGTGTGTGTGTGTGTGTGTGTGTGTGTGTGTGTGTGTGTGTGTGTGTGTGTGTGTGTGTGTGTGTGTGTGTGTGTGTGTGTGTGTGTGTGTGTGTGTGTGTGTGTGTGTGTGTGTGTGTGTGTCTGGTAGAGACCATAAAATTTCTACACACACTCAGATCGTCGCCAGAACTATAGTGACCTACAGCAACAAAATAGTTGACAGATACAACGACAATGAGAAATACGACATAGCTGAAGCACTACATCACAAACACTCATCTAACTATCAATAGCAATTTCAATTAGGTTCGTCCTACCATCGACACGACCAAAACTTAACTGCCAGTTCACATCACACCTATCTCCTCCGCCGACCAATGAGCATGCAGGTCAATATAGACAGGTCCTCTGGAATGGGTAAGTCCTCACTACGCCTGATCCCATATTTTATATATTCGTTACCTCTGACAAAATGTTTTCAAACTCCCTCAGCCTCCGAATATATTGAGGAGAGCTTCAACGAAATTTATCATTCAGTGACACATGTTAAGCCTGTTAAAATATTAAAATTTACTCTGAAGCAATACTTTTTCAACTTCCTTCCCCTTTCGTATCTTTTTTTCCTTCAATTGCAATCTCCCTAATCTACACAAAGCCCAGAAATTAGTGAACAAGTCTTCGGAAAACACAACCAATATTTCAAATTTTACCATGAGAATCACACGAGAAAGAGAGAGAGAGAGAGAGAGAGAGAGAGAGAGAGAGAGAGAGAGAGAGAAAGAGCGGTTGGGTTAGATGCCAATATTTCTTAAAGTGTGGCACTAGAGCAGAACTCGGCTGGCCTGCGACACTCCCATACCCGACATACTTCATGTGTAAAAATTGAGTGAGACTAGCCCCAAGCGTTTGACCTCCAACCTACCACAGACTGACTTACTGACACACAGATTTTCTATCTATATCCATATGATATAAGCGTTTCAGAGGTTCCCTTCTCTCCCAAACAGCATGCTGGGCCGGCCTAGACCAAACAGCCTCCAACTTCGCCTCGCGGGGGCCCTGGGTACAGGTTCAGAGGTTCCTGGTGCCCCGCTACGTGGCCCTGGGGGTGAACGTGACCCTGGAGTGTGACTACGCAGTCCAGAAGCACGCCACGCTCTACTCCCTCAAATGGTACAAGGGAAACTCTCAGTTCTACCAGTACATCCCGACGCTGCCTCAGCAGCATACAGTCTTCTCCGTCGGAGGGCTTCACCAAGACAAAGTAGTGAGTACATGAATAGGAATTTACCTGTATATATTGTGGTATTTACATAAATATAGATATGGAGAAAGGTATATGTATGCAGTTGACCAGATCACACACTAGAAGGTGAAGGGACAATGATGTTTCGGTCCGTCTTGGACCATTCTCAAGTGGATTGTGAATGGTCCAGGACGGACCGAAACGTCGGCTTCTCTTCACCTTCTAGTGTGTGGTCTGGTCAACATTCTTCAGCCACGTTATTATGACTCATCGCCATTATATGTATACATATATACAAGTTTCAGTATACACATAAATAAGAAATATCTATAGGTGTTTAAAACACACATACATACATACATACATACGAGTATTTGTATATTCAAACTTGTTTACACCAGTACATACGCATTTCATTGATGTAAATTCCACTAGGAGTCTGCGCATTTTTCCTTCTCCTGATAAAAATTTAAATGTTATGTAGGTTTGTTTGTCCCAGTTGTTTTTCCCCTGACTGACCTGGGGAGGACACTCGCCCCTTTTTCCGCTCTTTGATGAAATGTATTTACCTGTAGCTGTTAAAATTGGACAAAAATATACAACACCTGTAATTGCATTCAGACCAGGTAAGGAAAGTTGATCACACGTTTATATATTGAATTCCACAGGTAAAGGCTTTCCACTGTCAGCTGTAACTCTGATCGTCAATATAAGGTTCAACTTCCTGATAAATATTTTGTATCTGTATGTATTCTGTTTTGTCTTCGAATCTTGTTTTTGGACCTGAATTCAATTGTGTCTGTATTTTAGTCACGGTCCATTTGTTCAAAAATGCTTAAACTGGGGAAAATGTTCGTATTTTAGATGGTTTGAAAATAATTTTTGATTTGATGATGATATTTGGATTTTGTGTAGCTGAAAACAGTTTTAATACCCTCCTTCTGCCAGCCACATTGTATTAAGAAAATGTTTTATATAAATAGATAATTAACTAATGCATCTTAACTTCTCATTGGTCCACTGAGGCAGTAGGTGTGGGTGAGTTAGTAGTTATATCTTGGTCTCGTTGATGGTTGGACGTTCCAAAGTTTAATCTGGCTGTTGATAGTTGGTTAAGAGTGTTTGATAAGTAGTGCTTCAGCCATGTCTAATCTCACATTTACGTTGTATCTCTCAACTATTTTGGTTGGTGATACTGGCCATGATATCTCTCAAGTCGATTGTGAATGGTCCAGGACGGACCGAAACGTCGTCGTCTCTTCACTTTCTAGTGTGTGGTCTGGTCACCATACTTCAGCCACGTTATTGTGACTCCTCGTCTGCTTATTTCTTCACTATCTGGGGAGGAGAGACCCGGGACAATGCCTGAACATGCACAGTGACTCAGTACAGAAGATGTCCGCGAAATTTCCGACAACATTTACTAATATATAATACAATATGCAGAAATTAATATTGCTGCTGATTTTGAATTGATTAAAATATTTAATTACTCATTCAGAGAAACTGCATACGTGGCAATTCCCTAGAAAATGAAAGGTACATAGCTACGTCACCAAAATTAAATTCACCAGTTAATAATATTGTAAAATAACCTTAAAAACAACATTCTCTGAACTGTAAACATCAAAAAAGCATTTCCCAGTATCGAACTTAATTACCAGTACTAAAACACATTAAAATATAAACCATCTTTCCACTTCTTGATATAAACACATTTGGAAAGACGTTGATGTTGGAGGGTGGAAGGGGGAAGTAGCCATTGTAAACACGGGATGGTAAAACAGTCGTGTTAACATCCCGTGAACTACACTACTGTGGACTACAGTACTGTGAACTACACTACTGTGAACTACAGTACTGTGAACTACAGTACTCTGAACTACAGTACTGTGAACTACTAGTTATTCTCGAGGAGTTGTGCAACACAAATCGACACCATCGTTTCCTGGGAAGGCGTAGTACCCATACAGTATTTTATTTGATTAGAGCATTGTGGGAGGGGTTGAGCTCTGGCTCATTGGTCCAGTCTCTCAACTGTCAGTGAACTAATGTACAGGTTCCTGAGTCTACTGGGCTCTAATCATATCTAAACTTGAAGCTGTGTATGGAGTCAGCCTCCACCACATTACTTCCTAATGCATTCCATTTGTCTACTACTCTGACACTGAAAAAATTATGTCTAACGTCCTATGGTTCATTTGGGCACTCTATTTCCACCTGTGTCTCCTAGTGCGTGTGCCCCTTGTGGTAAATAGCCACAAGAGGGCTTGTGCGCGTGTGTGTGTGTGGGGGGGGGGTTCGGGGGGGGGTTTGGGGGGGGGGGTGAGTGTACATGTATGTGTGTCTAATATACATAAACCTTGAATAATTCTTTTCACGAAAAGGATTCACAGACTCACATCCCAGTTGATGTGTAAATGCATTTTTCATTTTTCTCTCATCGGGAGAGTTAACCCCCCCAGCCTCTGGAGACGTGCACTAGCCTCCTCCTCGTCGCCATTACAGAGGTCGGGGCCCCCTGAAGCTCTCTCACAAATCATGACGCACGCACAAGGCTTTTTTATGTCATCGAATGACGTGCAATAAACTATTCTGGTCGCCGGAGCGCGAATCTTCCTATACTTCTCTCCAGTTGTTCGTGGTGTTTTTTAACTCGACCATCGAGACCGCCGGTACTGGTGGACGGTTCATTTGTGTTTCGAATGGGACGAGGAGTTCTTTGCATAGTTGGGGGTGTTGCTCGACAGCCTCGTGATATAAAGGCATGGCGATTCCTGAAGCATAACGTGATTTATATGCTTTGCTACGTGCGCACATCATAGAAGTTATGAGGAAAGCGAAAACTGCAGAAGGCCTTATGGTGAACAGGAGAGAAATAGAGACAGAAGAAAGCAACAGAAGAGGAAGAAACGTAATAGGAAGCAACAGAAGAGAATGAAAGCCTTGAGGTTTCTCTAGAGGTGATCTGTCAAAGATAATTCAGATCTTGCTTCTTAAGAAAGTTAGAGAATTTAATAAAGTACCGAGAAAGGCAAAAGTTGCCATCAACAATGACTGGATTTTCAGTAACGTGACTGTAATTTTTTCCTGCTCATGTACACCTCTGCCCATGTACACCTCTGTCCATGTACACCTCTGCCCATGTACACCTCTGCCCATGTACACCTCTGTCCATGTACACCTCTGTCCATGTACACCTCTGTCCATGTACACCTCTGTCCATGTACACCTCTGTCCATGTACACCTCTGCCCATGTACACCTCTGTCCATGTACACCTCTGTCCATGTACACCTCTGTTCATGTCCATGTACACCTCTGTTCATGTACACCTCTGCCCATGTACACCTCTGCCCATGTACACCTTTGCCCATGTACACCTCTGCCTATTTGACGCAGGTGGTTCAGTTTAGAGAAATATGAATAATTAAGTTGAGTTCTAAACATATGCTGAATAATCTTTTTTCAATGCATTCACAATGCTTTAATAAAAAAATTATTGAAAATATTACGAATGCATTAAAATATTTCAAACGCTTTATCACTTCAATAAATAACATGCAGTGTATAGCTCCATAACACTGTTGGTTTGTAATTTTTTGCGTATGCCAGTTATGTGAATTTAAAAATATGTAGTTTTTTTGCATGCATAAAAAATGAGAGCAATTCCGTTATTAAAATTGGAAATACATCCTTTTATTAACAACTATATGAGTTAACACGTAATTAATAATGAAGATAGTGAATGGAGGAGAGAAAAAAAAAACAAGATGAGTGAGGCAGAAAAATAGATTATGAGAAGTAGGGAGTGAAAGAGAGAAATAGAGACATAGAGAGAGGGTAACAGAGAAAGGGGGGAAAAAGAGAGAGTGAGAGAGAGAAAGGGTTCACATATATAATGTCAAACTAGCTCTTGAAGACAGAACAATCAAGTGCTGTACACATTTTCGAGTTTTTCGTTTATTGAAGATGAGAGACATGACCTGGTCTTTTATAGTGGAGGTCCCTTGTAATGGGGGTATTATGAGTGAGAAGAGAATATTAATTATTTGTCAAGGCAAAAAAATTATTTTTAAAGCACCTATCGGCACTCACTCGAACGCACGCCACACACACACACACACACACACACACACACACACACACACACACACACACACACACACACACACACACACATCTCTTTTACTTTCAACGTCTCTACACTGTTCGAACTCCTGAAGGCTTGGCTTTAGCAAATTTTAATCGTCTGACATTAATATGAAGCCAGATTTGAACATTTTCAGAATCTTTGAGCCCACTATTTAGTCCTATCGTAAAAACAAATGATCGTCGGGCTTACAAAGTATTAGGTAAATGCTAACTTATTAGCCATTGTGAATCTGACCTATAACTTGAGCTGGAGGATAAGTTATTTTATTTACACACTAGGTCACTTGTAAATGACTTTCCGTTGCTTGGTTATGAGACTATTTACATTGCGTGGGCAAAGTTTTACAAATATTTGTACAATTATTAGATGTATATCAGTTTTCAACTAATGTTTTATGTCAATAAGGGGTCTGAAACTTTTGATGGTAGTTATGAAAACGTTCGTTAAACGTCCAACAACAACTCGTAATATTCTTTTAACGATACCGTTTTGAGGAGAGAAATATCGTCCCAGTCACTGAGAAACATAACGTACCAATAACTAAGTCGACAAATAAAAGATGCTGATCTATACTCCAGGTGAACACAAGTCGACCAACCTCGACCTTGTCGAGGGGAGCCGGTCGGCCGAGCGGACAGCACGCTGGACTTGTGATCCTGTAGTTCTGGGTTCGATCCCAGGCGCCGGCAAGAAACAATGGGCAGAGTTTCTTTCACCCTATGCCCCCTGTTACCTAGCAGTAAAATAGGTACCTGGGTGTTAGTCAGCTGTCCCGAGCTACTTCCTGGGGGTGGAGGCTTGGTCGACGACCGAGCCGCGGGGACACTAAAAAGCCCCGAAATCATCTCAAGATAACTTCAAGATAACCTATACCAGAA